CCAAAAACGTAAGGGGTACCATCGTCCTAAATCGCAAAAAATGAAATTTTCGGTTTTTTGCCAAAAACGTAAGGGGTACCATCGTCCTAAATCGCAAAAAATGAAATTTTCATTTTTCACTAAAAACGTAAGGGGTAACATCGTCCTAAATTGCAAAAAATGAAATTATTAAATGCGCTGCAATATATAGCAACAGCTACAACATATAACAACACTACAATCATTGCCTTCTTCTGGATGACTTGCACCAGATGGTTTCCGACATTTTTCTTTATAAAGAGGGCAAAGAGGCTTTTTTTCTATATATATTATTATTATTTAGCAATAAGGGTTAAATTATGATAATTTCCGGTTTGCATATATATGGTTAAGAAGTATATTATTTTTTTAATATAATTATTATTTAATAAAAACGAAAAGATGAGACAACATTATTAAGAAACGAAAGAAAGTGTCGATTAATTAAAATTGTTTTTTATTTTATGAGAAGACGATAGATTTATAGGGATCTTCGGACCTAACTTTGGGATCTCCCATAGAAATCATGAGCCGAAGGATGTTAATAGGTTAATGAAAGGCCCATGGCTTAGAGTGCAACCCTTTTGTAGGTTAGCTTTCGTCCGCGTCTTCATTAAAGAGCTATTGTTTTAAGTATAAATGTGTGAGGTGTGCCCGAGGGCCAAAATATAAAATCCCCCATATCTCACGAACTAGCTAGCTCAGCAAAGGCACGTACATCGGTCTCGTCAAGCACTTATCTTCATAAAGTAGCACTTTCAAGGAGCGCTGAAATTAATACAATTCAAGGGTTTTGACGGACGATTAGCTTAAAGACAAACAACAGTATTAGTCGCAAAAGTGGGATCCTACGCCAACTTGGGGTCACAACAATGCTAACAAATAGCATTGTTACACATGTAGACAATTACCGAGGCCATGTAGACGGTATTTGGAGAGCGGAAATGATTTCAAAAATGTGGTAGGTCTTAAGGTCATCCTCATGCAAACCGTACGCGAATGCAATCTGAAATATTAAGTGTGTCGTGAAATAGAGGTACAATTCCACTTACCTCACGTTTCACGTTTAAATGGCTATTTCCATTACTAAATTTAAATCTACTTGATTTTGGAATATGGGTTCAAAACCACTTTATTAAAAGCACTTTTAGAGCTACCATTGAAGTTACTTTCTGTAGGAATCCATATATACGGGGTGCTTTTAAAAATAGATCAACGCAAAATAAATTTATATATGAAATCATTGCTGTGAGTTATCACCGCAAAAGGACAACATTTCCAATAATGACTTTGAAAACAAGATGTTGCTGGTATTGGTTCAATAAGAACTCCAAAACGCTACGCGTTGCAAAAACGTTTCATTCTTCTTCTCATCAATAGGTAAGGTATGAAGCAAGTATTCGGTGCGGGTCGAGTCTGGCATACTATGCTTTTCGCATTCTATTCTGCAAGTTTTTTTGTTTAATACCCATACCGCTCGTACTATTAAGAAGAAGTTAATGGTTGCCTCTACCATATTCATTTAAGAATTAACCCATTTTTAGGAATGTGCAAAATAATTTTAATCATTCTGTCTTATTTGCATTATAATAAATAAGAATAAAAACTCAAAAAAATGAAAAAAATAAGATTTAATTACTTGTAACTTTGTGTTGGCATCGACGTTTTTTTCATTTTTGCACGTAAAAAGTAGGGTGTTCCGCAAATAAATGTGGAAAATTTCAGTCTTCTGGCTTCTATAATAACTAAGCAATGAGCCATAAATCAAAAATTTTTGTTAAGAAAACGCAGTTAATGCTCCGCCGCGGGCTGCTGCTCTAGCCAATTTAACCCATTTTCAATATGTATCTGCGTGCAGAAATTTCCAATGTTTCCACCAAATTTGAAGTCGATATCTTCCCTTTTGTCACATTACATTAACTGACCTAATCAAAAAAAAAAAAAAAGTGCTTATGACGTTTAAAACGTTAGCAGCCTCAATCATATAGTAGACCTGCAAGTCTCTTACGGGGGTGAATTTAAATCCTTTAAAACTTACTTATACTCTTAATATGAAGGCTACACTCTACCGATCTATATATATATACTATGTGCATATAAAATACATAAACAACGCATGAAACTCGCGTGGATATAATGATAGAGCTTCGACCTGACCTAGTTTGTATACAAATTTTGATGTCCTCGTAACGATTTGTACCCAAGAAATGCATAGCTTTTCCAAAAATGTTAATGAAACGCTTTTATGATTAAAAATATCAAAAATAGGCGAACATTAAGTTATAAAAATGTTTCGAAAATTAAAATTAAATTTCTACTTTAATGGTATGATTGGTGGACGCGTTTTTAAATAACCTTATATTTGACGATTGTAAAATGAACTGAGTTGTATGGAGTTGCTTAGGCTGTTTATCTATATTCCATGGTGTAAAATTAAATGCTGGAATATCACTACAAGGAATTAAATCAGTCGGTTCATCTTTGCGATGTTCCATAACATATTTACGGATATGCTTAATATCGTCTCCATTGCGGCAAACGATCTGCGATAATTTAGTTCCATAGATTTCATGCAGTTGATCTGATGATAAGTTATAAGTAAAAAAAGGTTAAACAGCGCAAGACTCGACATATCATCAGCACGAGTTACCTTTAGTAAATTTTTGCGGACCCATTTTACGTTCGTACCAATGCGAATCGCCCATCTTTAAACGGATGAATTGATCCGATATTAGACAGACCAGTAAAGGACCGAATATAGCACCGGCCACTGGTGGCTCACTTAAAGCTCCTGTGTAAACGTCAATTTCTTGCGGTGAACTTGGATGAACATTGGCAATAAAGAAAGAAAACAAGTGAATTTGGATAAATTGAAATAAAATGAGAAGAACTCTTTATATATATTAAATGTTAATGCTAAAATATAGTGAAAAGGTGCTAAGCATACTTTAGCGCCAATGACGGCTTTCAATAATTTATACTGATGATCACGTCTACCGACGTTTCTCAATATAATACTCAGCAAACCACAGAACGAATAACAATAAATACCATGTTTCTGCCTGTAGTTGTAAAGCGTATGCAAATTTCGATTTCCCTATAAAAGTTCCAATGTTTCTGCCAAATTTGAAGTCGATATTTTCATTTTTACGACCAGGACAGTGTCAACAACACAGACAGAGAGACACGAGTTAATCAATTTAGAATTTCATGCTGACTAAGAATATTCCCATATTTCCTATGGTCTTTGAAGCTTCCTTCTAGGTGTTGCAAACATTATGACAAAATGCGTATACTTCCACCCTTCAGTAGTGGGAATAAAAACATGAACTCACCTATAAATTTGCTTCATTGATTCTAAAGATTCCGCATCTACAGCTTTGGCCAGTTGCTCCCACGTATCAGTAGGTGGCAACTTGCAATGTTTTCGATATATGGGATAAGCTGGCAGACCATGGTCTCGTCCACGTTGTATATTTAATGAAACTAAATCTAAACCGCAAATAGGTTTATGTTCATCTGGGAATCCTTCAAATAATTTTTCAGTGACTTCGATGGAAAAAAAACGATCAACACGCTGAACAGAAGTGTTACAAGCGCCCATTAATGCATTATCAATACCGTTTAGCTGCCACAATGAAAATGGATTAAAAAGCATTTTGTGTAACTCTATGGCTTCTGGGGTACTGTTATTGCGAGTCATATTAAAAAGACCCTAAAAGAGAAATTTAATATTTATTATAGTTAAAATTGAAACAAATCCGGCAACGTTTTAGCATAGCTTACTTACTGGCAGCAAAGTATGAGCAAAACGAAAAGCCGCTGCAGCAAAATCGTTAGCCAACGTTGGATTTATGCTGCGATCATAGGTATCAGGTGCATCTAAGTTGTCTTGTGTCGGAAGCAATCCTTTCTCAGCAGCCAATTCTCGTCCCAATAGTACAGGTAAAAATTCATTATAAGTTATATGAGCTATTTGAGCTGCAAGTATTCTTCGACTTTCTTGAAAAACAGTTTCATCGTCCCATGTCGGATTTTCATCTTGTAAGCCCCTAGCTAAATAATTGTGTTGTCTGGCCCATAATAAGTGCATAGAAGTTAGCAAAAGATTCTCATTGGCTCGATCATCACCTGATTCAAAGCAATATTTCCCCTCTCTAAACATTTCTGGCCGATTGCAACCGTCATCAAAAGTTGTTGAAATTGGCAATAATTGACGACCATCCGAAGTGTCAAACATGCGCAATGTACCATTTATCATGGTGCGTAGTTTCTGTTGCCTTAATTCCGAATTACCATAAACCATAGATGCATCGATGAACGAAGTAGCCTGATTTAATTGTTGACGCGGTCCGAAATGACCAGTGGGAGCAGGAGCAGATCTCACAAAATTCATACAAGTTACATTAAATTTCGAATAATAGGGATCATCGGGGAGGATTACTACTGGAAAACATTCAGGATGCTTGGAATCGTGAACTACGCAACAATTAATCGATTCGCCCTCTTGCGAAGTGCTCAAGGAGGTCGCAGTTATATCATGATCTAGAAATTGGCCAAATACAGCTAGCATAATTGTAAAATTCGAATCAGTATCATAAGAAGCGCGATGAATCTTTAACGAAACATCGCGTGCTGAAGGCAACGCCGAATCATTCCTAGAGGATCCTCGCGGCGAGGAAATACCGTCACCATAATCCGGATTGACCATACGCCGGTAAGGTACTAATGTGGCGCCGTAATAACGCGGATGCTTTTTATTATTACATTCCCCGTTCGCTTGACGATATTTGGCATTAAAATTGCAAGAAATATCTAATGTCGGATCAGGTAGAAGCATTTTTGGTCCTGCTCCTATATTTTCACGCTTCGAACCGCGTGTGTAATTAAACATTTCGGCTACGCGGGAAGTTGCATGATTTTCCACAAAACCACGTCGAGCAAGTTTACGTGCCTCCGGGCTAGAATTCAACGAACGATAATGACGAAAAGCGGGACTGTGCACAGGCATTGAATGTAAGCCCTCTTCAAGTAATTCACGATCACCTAAAGCTTTAATGCCGGCGCTTACAGCGTTCTTGCTTTGCAAATCGTTCAGTTTATGACGTTTTAAGGCCCATTCATCATCAGGTTCATCGGTCAGTGGCCGTTTTACGATTTGCAAATCTTTACTCGCGTTAATATTTTGAGATAATTTTTTCGAATCGTTCATGTTTTCATTCGTTCCACTTGTCGTCATCAACATCATATTATTTGGAGAATAATTATTAGTTAGCGTAAAAACAATCACTAATGCAATTATGAAAATCATTCTGTTAACGAAAAAAGGAAAAAGTACAAGGAAAGAAACAAGAGAAGAAAGTCAAGTTGCAAATTAATAGCAAAGTCTCTTTTGGTTGCACCTAAAACTATGGCCAGACAACAGAGATACTTAGAGCAAATATGTGAGTTTGTGAAATTATGCTAAACCGCAAAGTAGAAAAATAAGTCATTCAACTCAGTATGCATGCGAAGAGAAGACGGAATACTATGGTATGTTGAACTCAACTTATTCAACATTCAAACTAATTAACGATTAATTGTGCGCAATTCCGATAAGTTTCCCATGGATAAACGATCAAATTTTATTCTATGATCGAGAACAAGAAATATTTGACTTGCACTGGGCCAAATTGTTAACAAAACAAATCATTTGTTTGGGTTTTGATTGTCATTTATGTTCATCTATTCGCCAAAACTATGCGCTGACAAATTTTGGGTTTTGCGTCACGATAATGCTTTCTGTCCAATATAATTGTCCACCAGGAATTCAAATAAGCAGGTATATTCCGCCTTATTTCGATTATGTCGAAATTGTTCGTATTTTTATAAATACATTGTACCGGTCTTCTTCTTGCTGCTTATAAAGATATTGTACCGGTCTTCCTCTTGCTGGTCAGGTATGTATTAACAGGGTCTAACTTATGGGAAAATAATTTGATTCATAAATTTTACTTTATATTTGTGAAAATTGAATAGTTAACCTGACATCTAAACATGTAAAAACTTTTTCCAGAAGGGCTCATCCATTTAAAATTAGGTCAGATTAACTCAGGCGGTAGTTTAAGTGTAAAACACAAAAATGCGACAGTTTTGAGCTTAACGAAAAGTCGAAACATGTCTGAATAGCATAAGTGACATTCCATTCTACTAGTAAAAAATTGGCCATTGGTAATAAGCGAAGACTGTTGATGATGATTTAGAAAAATTTCCTGCAAACGTGAATGATTGACCCAATAAAAAGAGGCAAGTCCTTGTGTGGGAAATGCAATAGGGGACAAATTACGTTGATCTTTCTTGATATCACAACAAGTGTGCCTTTAGAGCTTTGGAGGGTCATCTAAAATGCCCCTTGTTAATAGGGTCTTGTGTATGATAACTTCTGTGAGCATAATTATATAAAAAATCCTCGTAAAAACCGTCGCAGATATCGTAAATAAATTAAGCAATAAAGATGATATTTCTGGGAAGGGCAGATTTTTTTCATTAAATCTAGACAATTACGTTTATGAGGAATGGCAGCCGCTTGGATAGGGTCTTAAGGTTAAATAACGAAAATCGGATTAACTTTTTGTAGCGAAAATAATTGCTTTTTAGAACGAGCGACGATGATCTCTTCTGGGATATTTACAAGTTACCACCGTTGCCCGCGAGCCGTTCATTCTTAATTTTGCAAAAAGTGGTTCTTTCTCCGACACATCTACACATCGTACAGAATCTTAAACTTTCGTATATGATTCGCTTCATTAATGCTATAAGCGAAAGAGAGTGGAATAAGGAAAGGGTTTTCGCTTCAGAAGCAATATTTATTCATGCATTCCAGTTGGTAAATATTGTTATAGCAGTAACCTTAACAGCATTTATATGGAAATATTGGAAGCGACTGTTGTTATCCTTCAGATCATTGATAAAATAATAAATGCGATAATATTAAAACACTTTGGAAAACAAATGAATAAACAAGCGATATTTTTTAAAGCGATTCTTTTAAAATGTTGAATTGTTATAGTCTCGGTGTGTGTGTTAAATGTTATAAAAAAAAAAACTCACAAGAACGTTATACCCAAACACCATTGAAATTGTTGCATTTTATGTCGACGCGAACGTGGCGAGACACCTGGAAATACGTAAACCGGACCGGATTGCAATGGAGGCGGCGGTATAGTCGAAGTTAAAGGTGTAGTTTCGTCTACCATATTGTTTTTTTTTTCTTTTTTTCTTTCCTTTTACTTTAATCAAATAATAATATATATATTTTATATTTTCTTTTACATAAAACTTGCATGCCCAGCAATGGTTAAAACATGACTGAAGTGCATTAAGTTTTAAAGAAAATAGAAAAACCACTTTAAAACTAAGTTGCAACACTTGTAAGGTTTCTATATGCTTCAAAAGCAAAGTGCTTACTTACTCCGTACGTAGAGGTAGATGGACAGACAGACAGAATTATGATAATGACATACAGACATTTGATAACTTGAAAACTATGCAAAATATTTACGATTAACGAGAAAAAAAGGCTTGATTCAATGAAGATTAAGTTTAATGATTAGCACAAAAAGCTCAATTGTTTTTCTTTTTTTTTAGTTGTACAAAAGTTTTTATTATTTCTATGAATTCATTAATTAAGAATTATCGTTTTGCTTTAAATTTGGCTCTGAATTTTTATAAGTATCGTGTATGTATTCATAAATTAATTTAAGTAAATATTGAAACGATTTATTATTCACCAAATCACCCAAATCAGTACTGTTAAGAAATTCATCCATTAAAGGTAGAAAACTTTCGCAATCACCGTCTGAAATTAAGAAGTAAAACTCATAAATAATAGCTAATAGGAGGCAAATAAAACTAAAGCATCTACCTATCAGATGACACAATTCAATTAATTTGAAAAATAAAAGTGTCTGTATATAATCGAGGGCATTGTCGACATCATATTCAGTCCAATTATTGCGTAATATAGCAGCGCACCACACTTTGTGACGAGCCTCGAATGGATCATCTAAATAATTAAGCAATTCCAAGGCTTTGCGAAAATCAAGCTCATTAGCGTTTTTGTGTTCTTCGGCTACTAAAAGCTGCATGAAAACTCGTAAATACTTTTCAGTTTTAATATATAAGCTAACAGCTTGCTTAACTTACATTAATAATTTCTTCGATTGTTAAAACTTTCTGCTGCTCTATATCATAACCGAAAGCTTCCAATACGTCCGCATTTAACTGTTCCTGATATTCCACAATATTCAGCTCGGCATTAATCGTCTCCAGTTGCAATGACAAATCCGAGTCGGCAGCTGCAAAAGCCGCTAATTTAGCCAAAGATAGCATCGACTGAATACGAACCAACAAAGAAACTTGAATGAAATTATTTCCACTTCAAATAAATAATTTTTTTGCTCACCTTCTTCCTTTGCAAAAACTCGACCTCACTTTGTGCAAGTTGAAATAGTATTTTTGAGGCTCTTTCAAAATCACCGTTGAAAACTAATTGTATCCAACCAAGCGTTGGATGATCACGCATAAATTGTGATAGTGCAGCTTGATTACCTTTAAAGCGTTCAAATACTTCACCTTGACGATTCTGTCTTAAATGCCAATTGATTGCAAATTGCGAAAAATCATGGTCTTCATATTTTTTTATGTAACCATCTAAACGTTCTTGATTATCGGTCACATCGCATATTATTACCAAACTTTGAAAATCCAAATATTTTTCTGCCAATTTAGCAGCGAATTCGTATTGCTTATCATCGACTTAAAAAACCACAATAAAATCAAAAATATTATTTTATAATTTACAAGTTATTGGACTTGTGATCAACAAAACTGATGTATCTCATTAAAGAACAACTAACAAACGAAACAAACTTATTAAAAGGAAATTCTTAGTAAAATTTACAAATAATTTTTTGAAGGAATTTGTTCATTCGAATCGCATTTCCTCCTTCCTCCTTCCTATAATACGGAGTAGGCGCGACTGATTTTTTCTATTTTCGAAATAAAAGTTTATGTCGCATAAGCGTGTGGGCGTTGTAGCCATGCCCTTGGAAAAGTTTAAGTCATTTCCAACTTTTTTTCACACATACTACACAGTTGCGCAAACAGACAAATGGATAACGAACAGAGCGACATGTTTATGCGCATTGAAAATTTGAAATCGGTCAAGAACTTATGTACGTTATGGGCTTTTTGAAGCTTATTACTTCGCCTTATAAAAATATTAGAAAAAAATTAAATTTCGATAAACTACAAGATTAGGTAGGCGTGGCCAAGTTTTTTTCATTTTTGTATAGGTACAGCATCGGCCATAGAATACGAAGTCAAATCTGTATACTTTTATCTGCTAAAGTTTATGAGTAATAAGCGAAAAATCAATTTTTAATTCCTTTTCAAAAGCAGAGATTTTCTCAGTTTACGTACTCTTGTGAGCGTGCCCTTCGATTCATCTTGGCCATTTTCAATACCAAGCTGCGTGCAGAAAATTCCAATGTTCCTACCAAATTTGAAGTGGTTATCCTAGTTTTTGTGACCATGAGAATGCCAACGCATACCACACAGACACACAGACATGAATAAATCACGCTGGTGAAGAATATATATAGTTTGTAGGGTCTCTGAAGTTTCCTTTTGAGTGTTACATACATTATGGAAAAAACAAAATAAATATGCCCTCACCTTACAATGGCGGCTATAAAAGCAAAACCATATTCACTACTTCAAACTAATATATAGAAATTACAAAGAGTCTTTAAATGACCAAGAAAAATAATTATATTGATTTTTAAATCAATATTTTTGTAGGGCGTAGTTTAGTCATTTAATATCTTATTTAGGACAACTTTTAAATAGTCTACCATGCTTTACTCATTCCAAAAATAAACGGTAGACAAGCAGAGGGAGACAAAGCACGAAGAACTACATACATACAACATATATTTTCCAAGTTTCTACAAGGTCTAAATGAAGCATACGAATATCGTTTGGTGGCGAGTATAAAAATGAAGGATAAGGCGAAGTTAGTCTTAAATTGCAGCTGATTAGAAATAACTTATAAATGGTACCAGAACTTTACAATACCAAAATTAATACAGACTGCATAGTAACTAAGCAATCTGAATATACCTATATATGTGTATAAAAAAATATTGCAAGATCCACTTACTCATTACAGAAATTAATTCGCGGCGCTGTGATTCGAACTGCTGTAACAAGACATTATATTTTTCAGTATCGCGCACACTATCCAAATAATGTTTACGACCATCTAATACGACGTCAATCAGTTCCAAAATCTGTTGATATATTTTTTGTTTCAGTTCGGGATCGCTAGTGCTACGGGCACCATATTTTAATGAGATATCAATCAAATGAGACAAAGCATCGCGTAGACCAGTAGTACCAGACATAGCTGTCCATGGCAAATATTCATAAGAGTACTTTTTATCGGCCGGCAAAGAATAAATAGTCGAATTTTGTTCACGAAATTTCATTACTTCCGAAATAATATACAAAACTATGTAATCGATATCAGAAATAAAACTGGCCAAAGACAGCGACTGATGTTGAGCCTCAATATGCCGATTGGCTAAGTCATAAAAGGCTCGGAATATTTCTTGGAACTTGCAAATACGCACATAGAAAAAATCCTGTGCTGTAAGTCTGCCCGGGCGGCTTTCTTCCCACTCTTGAATAAGTAAATTAATCGCCTCGTCAATAATCTTTTTGTATCTGAAATTGGAATGAAATATAAAAAATTATAAAAACGCATGATTATATTCGCCTTTGTTTAATCAGTTAACTATGTCGACCTGAAAGTGTGTATTAAACGATGATAAAATAATGATAAAATTTTATAAGGAAATCGGGCAAGGATGGATAAGCGGATCATGACGTAAAAATTTTGTACTTTTTTCATGACGTATATATTCATCATAGATAGTTAGCTGGTTAAACATTATTCATCGCTGAAATCCACCACATCAGGCAAATTTTTAAAAATAGAAGGTTTTGTTAATTATGACCAAATTGGTTGCTCTGCTCTATAATTGTGCTTAGTTGGGTATTTGTTCCCGTTGTATTTTGGAGTTGGTCACACATAGAGCGACATCGAATATGCATACTTTGACGTTTTATTTTTGTTTTTGCGATTGTTAGACATTCCATATCGAGAACATGCTGACAAGCGGCCACGATTACGTAAGATCAATACCTTAACCGGGTCAAGAACAAATATATCCCATAGAGAGCTAATGACGCCAATTTTTTATGTATTTCAACAAAAAATTTCTGCTTCGATAGTCGCCAGAAATATTTTGAAAATTAATAAGACTTACTTATTTTGGATGCTGCGTAATGCAGTCGCAGCTATGATTTTCTCATTAATATCCGACAAAACATAGCACGTGGGTTTAAAGAGGTTACCACCAGCACAAGTAATTGCCGTCAGCTGTAAATAAATTTGGAATTCTTTAATTTATAAATTCGCAAACAAAACAATGCAACTTACTTTATCCCATAAGCCAGTCCCATGAAGAAATTCCACAAAATGTCTTAAAGCTAGGTTTTTCTCTTTTAATTGTGTAAGTATTTGCATGGAAGAAGAACTGCCTAAAGAATTATTGACATCCTCCCATAAATGTTCCCAGCGTGGATCAGCGGCCGGTATATCTTCCGCTAAGTCCTCGGCTATAGTTATGACCATTCTGCGAAATAAACAAATTTAAAAAAAGGAAAAAATTCATAATTTTAAGATATAACTTACTTATCCAATTGATTAGCGTCACTTAATGCCCCACCGGTTTGTGGTTCGGCTACATTTTTCAGTAAATCATTTAAGATACTATTACACATATCATTTTTTTTTTTTAAACGATAAATAAAAGCTGCTTTCAGTTGGCTAACATCATCTTTAAATTCAGAATATATAGAGTCTGGATCCAACTCATACATATATAAATTATTTTCATCTATGTTAGACATTGAGGTGGCGGAAGTTATGGTCTGTTCTTTTAAATTAGCTTCTGCAGCGGGTGAGAAGACTTCAGATGTAGTCCAAGTGTTATTAGGTAATTCGCTATTATCAAAATCACCCGGTGTTATTGAAACCAAGCCATGTCTGCGACTAAAGAACAGAGGAATGTGTGCATATACCGCGGCATATAATATACGATCATCTTGCAAATGAAATTCAATTTTTTCAGCATCGTTTTCACCCATTTGTATATTGGCTAAGGTTATGGGATAAACAATCTTCTCGTTGTATATGTAAATGTGAGTAGGACTGATGATAAAACGTGGTGACAAACACTCTTTTTCCGTACTTTCACTATAGAAATTCGAAAATTTCAAAGGGATGAACGCTTGCAATCCCATAAAGTCATTAAGAATGGAAAGAGTTGCTGAAAGGAAATTTCTAAATAAAAAAAATGTTGTGTTTTGCTCTGTCCTACGCACCTATAGCATAGTATATTTGCGGGGTGTGCGCAGAATTTACGGCACCAGCCAAGACATACCACTTATTATCGTGAATATGCATATCCAATAAATGTAAAGATACATCTACACTATCTGCGAAATTTTTTGGGAATTTTTAGAATTTAGAAAAAGTACTTACTATTTGCCCGTGCAACAATCTAATCAGCTTACCTCGGATATTCCAGAATTTTTTCTGGAACTCATCGCGTATTTTGCGTACAATATCACCATCTTCGAAAAGCAATTGCTCATTAACTCCGTTATAGCTTAAACGCCAACGTTGCATCCAGCGATCAGCCAGAACTGAGACGATAGCTTCTCGTTCATTTTCTGATGTTGGCTCGCAAGCAACAGCCACAAATTTCTACGAAAATATTTCTACAATTTTTTTCATATACTTTTTGTGATATATACACACATTTTCCTTATCGGTTCCACTGTTCATGCCAATTATAATAGAAGCAAACTTTTTGCCAATACCGCTCAAAAATCCAGATGGCTGCCGTACACTTCTATATTGTAACACATGACGACCTTTTTGCCATTGAAGTTGTAGTAAAATTAAATTGCAAGTCGTCGTAACTAACAAATAACTTAAATGCATTTGTTTTTGAGGCAAAGACAAAAGGTAATCAAACTCTTGTCCATCTAAAATATTAGTTAAGTCCACGGAACTTCCATCATGAGCTATAGAAGGCCAATAACGTACATCACCCGTAGGAGAGACAGCTACACATGATGCCATCTGTTGTTGATCGCTTAAGAATACACTTACCAACGAAGCCTTATGACCAATATCGCAGTGTGGCAGAGTGAGTTCACGACACTGAATCATAGTCCCACCTCGCTTTTGCGGTGTACATAACGATACCTCTTTACTACCTTTCGGTGTGCCTGTTCCTTCATTACGTACATCCTTGTATTGCCAAACCAACAAATGGCGGCCATGCACGACCCAAGCCCAACCGTTTTCAGCGCAGTTAACTGACACATGTTGCGACTTTTCGCCAAAGGTTAATGCTTCATTAACTAAAACTGGCAATTGGAGACCGTAACTCTCCACCAAATTGAAATCGGAGCGTACCAAAATAGATTGATTGGAACGACCCGAAATACTAAAACGACTGAGCCACACATTATGTTTGAAACGGTCACAATTACTTTATATTATTAACCTTCCGAAGCCCACACCCGATATAGATTTATTAAAGCCGCCGCTAGCGCCTATCAACGATCTACGATTTCCACCAACATTTATCGAATTTGGTCGATTGCAAAGATTTCCGATCGAATTTCCTCCTAATGATTGTTTAGGCATTTTATTTATTATTAAATGATGTGACGTTAAAGAAAATTTGCCGGCAAAATAAACAGAAAAATGGATGCGGAAATCAACGTGATTTTAATTGTAAATAAAGCGTCACTTTAATAGGTATAGAGTACGTGAAAATAACAATACAATTTTTATTAAAGAACATTGGAATTGAACTGAAAATATTTAAAAGAACTTTCCGACTAAGATATTTCGGCTAAGCACTAAAATATACTATACGTTGATTAACTTACCTTAACCTTAATTTATACATTTCATGGGAGCATATATTTGTAGAGAGACTTTTCCTGAATGCAAATGCTTCGAGTTTTCCAGAGTACCGGAAAATTTTTGAGAATTGATTCAGTTTACTGATTAGCAAAAATTAGTTATATGTGATTTTTTGTTCTTGTTATTAACTCAGCTACCGTTTTTACCAAATTGTTATGTTGGCATTACTGAAGTAAACAACATCTACTTGACAATTGGAAAATTCAAACACAGTTAGCAGCAGCTGTGAGATACTTTATGAAATTTTATAAGGAAAATTTGTTAGAAATTCTGATTCTTAAATATTCATTTAATGAAAATGGCGAATTGGACAAAGAATCAGCCTAGCGGGAGCAGTACGAGGCGCAAATGGAATCTTGAGGGTAAACTTATTAAAAATTCGCATTCAGGTGTTAACAATAATTAAATAAAAAAAAAAAATCGCGATTTACTTTAGATCGCACCTCTTTAAATAACTTGAAATATCATATAGCATCGGAAGGTTGCTCCGAGGTTCAGTATGATTTGGCGAAACAATTGTTAGATAAAACTATTGGTAAATTTTTACAAGCACAAAAAGTCTGGTTCATAGTTAAATTGTAATTTTATTTTCCTTCTTTTATATATTTCAGAACAAAATGAAGAAACTTCAAGCCAACAAGCTGTGCATTGGTTAATGTGTGCAGCCCAACAAGGTCACGAAGAATCTGCAAATCTTCTACAGAAATGCTACGATGAAGGTTGTGGTATTACAACAGAAAATGAATCTAAAGTGCGTGCCTGTTTATCGATGACACCGGGTGAACGGGCTGCTCGCAAAGCCGCACGAGAACTATTCGCTTGCCTTTCGAACGGTGGAAAACACATTACGCCTAAGCAACTTGAAAAGAAGATGCGTGAGATTTATAAAATGCAAAAACGCAGAAAGCGTTACGGCTACAACGGCAGTTCTTCGACTTCAGAAGAAGAGGAAGAGCAAGAAATAAAAAATAATAAGGCAGAACCCTTGGAGGATGGTTGCGATTCTATACCAAACGGTTCCGTAAAATTAAGTAGTTTATCCCACCGCCATCAACAACAAAGAAAACGCCGTTCAGGAAAAAATTTTTTGAATATACCGGAACCGGAGCCACGGCACGAATGCATAACTGAAGAAAACCTAGTTTCCGCAGCGGTAAATTACGCTGCTGGACGGATGCCTAGTGTTAACGATGCCTTAACTCTCTCTGTACCACATCCTGCATCTTTAGATCATGTACCTTGCTTCCATCGTCTAATATTCCATCCCGTCGTGTTTTTCACTCTACTGTATCATCGTTTGATCAATGTGATAAGCGGCTTACCAAAAGTCATGCCGCAAAGTGTGCGTTTAGTTTTATTGTTTTTGGTGTATTGGCTACTTTCGACAGATAGTCTTACTATGGTACCATTGCCCATTTACATGTACGCAATCAGCTGGATTATAATGGTTTGGTCCACATGTAAAATGTTAAAAACGAAACATGATTTTATTGATTTTCGTATCTGGTCGGGCCTATTTCTCAGTTACGGCGATCACAATATTGAAGCTGATATTTCGGAAAACCGGTTTCTAAAAAACAATATGCAGCCATACCTGTACTTTTTCTGCGCATTTATTGGAAACCTACTACTGTACCCCATAATCTCCGCTGATGGTTTGCCGCATTCAGAATTGACTACAGTCGCGGGCATTTTCGCTTTTATATCTTTAGTTGCTTTTATGTACTCATCACAACGTTTACCCGATTGGATGGTTCTTGTTTCTTTCGGTGTGAACGTTTTAGCTAAATACCCTTATGAAATGGACGAAGTAGTAACAACAGGTTGGCGCTTTTTAGATCTGAAAGTGCCGACGTTCTGCTCATTTGTGATTGGAAATGGTATCGAATTTTGCTTGAATTGTCGTACGGCTCTATATTTATTAATTCCTCCGTTTCTGATTCATTTGGCTAAGCGATCGAACTGGCACGGCACCTATGCACACCTCATACCGCATTGTGTGACTCTAAGCTGGCTGCAGCTGTGTATAACGAGTGCTCAGAGTGCTACCATGTTTGGAATGATAAGAGCTACTTTAGGTTTGGCGGGAGTTTTACTCTTTCTACCGCTTTTCGGTATAGTAACATTGTTGCTACCAGTCTTTGTGGCCATAGAATGGTTGGGTTTTACTAATCCCAATGTGCGGTTAGGCAGCACTGTGGTGGCGTTGATTGTAGCATTGCTAGGTTCTTGCTTTTTAGCTATAAATCGTACCACACAAAAATTTATCACCATCGTACAGGTAAGATGTATTTGTTAATTAATAATAATTGTAATAAAGTAAATTTTTGTTAAATTACTTTGTCAAATTCTCCTTAGGTTTTAATTTGCTTAATAGCGGCATGCATTTTAACATTCCCGTACATGACATCTAGTTTCAAGGATGCGACACGTTTTACCACAATAATACCAGATTTAAAATTAGATGCCATGGCCAGTAGTGTTGAAGTTCGTCGAATGCCACCGAAGCCGATCGAGCATATAAGTTGGCAAAATTTTTATAGTCATTGTGGTTTGCCGGCTTGGAAAAACAATAACAAAATTAAGGCACAATTGCGGTGTTCTCATTTGGCTGGTTTGGCGGTAGCTTGGGAGGGCGACGTCTCTCAAATTCAAATTACTAGTGTCAAAAACCTACGATCCTGGTACATACAAAGATATCTTCCGCGTTGGGTGGCCAATTTAATTACTTGTTTTTGGGGTGAACCCATCGTTGAACAGTGTCAAGGTCGTGGAGAGACTCTGGATCCATTCTGCGATGACTTTCAATACATTCTAAAACATACTTATCTGCAAGATAAGTGCTCATTACATAAATGGAATACCTATGAATATGAGATACGAGTAAAAATGGCGTCGTCCGGACTTCTCAGCAAGAGCCCCGAAGTCATTTTACGAGCTGCACATCCGTTTGGTAACTTTACAAAGCGTTTAGCCGAAGGGGACCGCATACATTTCTATGGCACCTTGGAGAATAGTCGTTTAATCTCGTTACCTTATTTAACTAAATATGAAGAATTTGTATTGGGTTCGTCTTCGGCGCATGTACGTTTGGCAGCTATCGAATGTCTTACGTGTAAAGATGAGGAAAATTTACCTGTTATACTTGATTCTCTAATGAACAGTCCAGTAGACGCCCGTATGCGTGATTTAATGCGTGGCATTAAGTATTTGCTTAACGTATTGTTAAGTCCTTTAATAACATTCAAGTAAATTTCTAAGAAATTATTTTTTTTTTCACATATTTTTCTGAAAAATGTTATTTAAAATAAAAGTAAACATTCTTTTCTCTCTATATACGATTGAAAATAAACGCATGAATAAATAAATAAATGATTTGCTAACAATTATTTGTCTAATTAATTCATTTCTTCATAAGAAGGTACTGAGAAAAACGCGTTTATAAAAATTTGATTCATACGAGAGCTATTCAACAAATTAGAATCTTTACAAAGCAAATGAAAATAATTTAATATTTCTCGCTAGTCATCATTTTGTAGGCAAACTTGTCAGCTTTTAATTGTCAATTAACTAAATTGAGACTGCTTGAAGGGAGAGATATATAACTGAGAAATAAAAACGAAATGAAACTAAAAAAGATATAATTTTATCAAGAATAGAAGACAAGAAGAATTTAAATGATTTTTATATATAAAAAATAAAAACCGAAGTTTTATTCTAGTACTAAGAACACCTAATTGTTCAGGGAATGATGAAAATATTAGAAATAGTAGAAATGTTGTCGATGACAAATACTATTGAATGGAAAATTGTGTACAAACATACAATACAGATTAACAATTAATATTACTTAGGTAGACATGAATAAATCGATTTCAGCTTACCGTGAACATGTTACAGTCAAACTCGTATCAATCGTGGAAATCATTTAATTTTAAACATTTAATTTTTCTTTTTTCTGCATTCATCTTTGTTATTATCTTCGGAGTTGCACTCCTGTTGAAGTGTGAGAAACCGATACTGCACTTCTATTAAATGAGAAATCGAGTTGCACTTCTGTTATGCGGGACATTTACATGTAAACGCGTTTTAACAGAAATCCATGCATTTTGACGGGGAAATCTAGACTTTAACGGGAAACTCTACACTTTTATCAGAAAACTATGAACAGATGAATAATTTTGTTCCTCGAGACTACTATTAGCAATGAAAATGTTTGCATATCTTATCATAGAAATAGCTGCAATTGATTACTTGGCAAAGTGAGTAAGGCAAGGGGGGGCGGTCAACGTCTGCTTATTTTTATGGGAACATAAAGAATAATTGATTATAAAATGCTTACACAGCTGTATGAGTAATGAGAATTGGATACCAGTAAAGTTTTTCTTCGAATTTTTGTAATTATTTTCAATTTTCAGTATTTTTTGCTTTTAAACATTATGTTTATTGCTTTTTTTGATTCGTTTTTTTTTTTTTTTTTTTTCTTTCTGGAGTAGCGTATAAGATTAGTTTTATATCATCCAAGGCAAATTTATAACAACAGAATTCTTATAATTATCTTCTTGAATTATATGTAATTATAATGTTATGTACGTTTTAAGTTATTTTATAATATTTTGAACCGTAAAGTTACGAATGTATTAGAAAAATAGCACAAACATAAACAAGTAATTAGTTTGAACTTTTACTTTTAAATGGCATAAAGAATAATTTGTTCTGTTTGGGGATGCAGATCGCGTATAAGTTTTCTAAAAAGTTCTATAAAAATATTTCTAAAAGGAAGTAAATAAGTACTTTTTGCATATATAGAAAAAAAGCTGTAAATGTTGTAACACATGTAATAAACCAACTTCCTCTGTATTTATTAAAAAAAAAAAAAAAAAAAAAGATAAGAAAGGCCTTCAAGGACTTAAAATCTCGGTACTATTTCAAGCCCATTTAAAATGCAAAGTATTATTTAGTTTTTGTATTCTTATTTTAGATTCATTTTCACTCTTTTACCTTATCGCTGGCTAAGCATTTTCTGGCGCCCAAAAGGTAACCTTTAGCGGTAAGTACGCCGCGACAACGCACGTGAACTTGATAACGTAATGACCAATCCACCGTATAATTGGGTAAAATAAAATTTTCATCGGTTAACAAGACCTCGGGATCACTATGCGTTAACAATTGGATGTCGCGTTGAGTACAAAATTCTTTGAGAGTTGGCGGCACTATGCAACAGGCTGCTAAGTTAATTTGAGCTATTACTGGTTGCACACGTGCCGATTGACATAATAACTGTAAGGCCTCAGTGTCTAAATCCGCTATTCCTAATTGGTTGATTTGTTTTTGCAAAGCGAAATCTTCCAAACAAAACCACAACTCTTTTAAATCATTGATATCACTGTCATTAGCGCTTTGGCTCCATTTAAGTTCGCTTTGGTGTTGCAAAGTCGCTGCTGTGACATCTGGTGTACCAGGCGAAATTTTTGTATGATATTGGTTTGGATGATATGCCAACACCACATTATCTACATAATCGACATTTAATATGGACATCAGAGCATTTGCCGCATCCTTAACACACTCTTTGGAATTTTTATTCATAAACAATTTCACTCCAATACTTATTTCATTTCGGGCATTTTCCGTAATTTTTTGTTTCAATTCTGCATTAGCACGCAACACTTGTCCATCGCTTTCGCGAAACTCGATTTGATCATCAACACGGCCACTGGCGCATTCCGAACATAGTTTTAAACTGTCCAATAATTCTTCATGAGATTTTCGTAGCGGTATTGCATTATCCAATACATTTAATATGTTTCCCGTTGAAATTAACAATTTTTCATATTTAGGATTTGTAGCAATTTCAGTAAACATTATTATTGCGCTGCTCTTTTCCGTACTCTTTCTTTGTTTGCTTTTTAGTAACAATTCTTTAAGAAAATTTTTATAAATTTATCACTTTTCTAATAGTAGCACAATTTTACTCGTTTTCTTTCCACTTTCAATTAAGGGTATTAAAAAAGAAAAATGAGAACAAATAATGGGAGAATTTTTTTACTAATAACATATGTTGCTTGGAATGCGAGAACTTCCAGTAAAAAGCACTATTTTCCCATTATATAAAAATTCAGTGATACCATTTCACTCGTTTTGTAAATCACTTTAGCGCATTTGTTTAAAAAAACCTTTTTTCGTAACTGGATCAATGCCTAAACTACTTTGCATATCATTTTGGAAGCCTTTAAGATGTTTTAACTTAGTTAGTACATTTCTTGATCACTAACGAACTTTAAATAACCTCCTGAATAAAATATTACTTAATTTTTCGCTCTGCAGAAACATACTTTCACAATTTTATGCTGAGTCTTTATTTACGTTAATGTCTTTTTAGGCAATTTTTACATGACACTTACTTACATATGCATATGTATAATAAAACAAATATGTCTATGTATACTAATCCAAAAATTGAAGTTTCTTTTCATTTATATATTTATATTATTATAGAATTCGCAAACTATTTTATGTTCTTTGTTTTTAACTGAGTTTTAAATTTTTTATGGAAACGTAATTAGAAACATAATTTGCACAAATTTTTATTTATAGAAAACTTAATTAAAAATTTAGTTTATTTATCGAAAAGAATGTATGATAGGAGATCGAAAAATTATATTTTCAAAAATTTTAATTAGAATTTTATTAGAAACAGAGAATTAACTTATTCTTTTCGGTTACTTTCTTACATAAATTAATATATGTTTAATAACTAAAACTTGCGTAAAAAAAAAGATTTTAAAAAAGTCGGCGGTAGGAAATATGTATTCATATAAAAATTAAAAATGATTTTAAATTCTAAAAATTTTGGAAATATTTTAAATATGCTAAAAATGAAATTCAAATAAAAATGACTTTGCTGACCTTGCTATGCATTCCTTATGATGGTGAGACAACTTTTTCAGGGCTGACTTCATTGTAATATACGACCAGATATCAAAATATTCTCATTTTCCATAGCTTTTTCTGGATTTTTCGAAAAAAGCAAGTTGGGCGACGCAGCTAAAATAGAGTCGTTTGCCACGTTGTTCTCAAAATTTCTTGAGATCACCATCATGTTAATAATTTCGCCCTTTCTCTGCTTGTTTTAATCAATAAATCCGAAAACGTTCTTCAAATTGCATTTTTTACTTATTTTTCATAATTGCGTTTATTCAATTAAAAAATCAACAGCTGATTATGGTATTGCGCAACCAAATGGCTGTGTTTACATATTGAAAATAAACCTACATGCAACCAAATGGTTGTTTACATATTGAAAATGAACCTACACGCAACCAAATAATAAATTTTTTTTTTGCAAAAATTCAGAAAACTCGTCCGCTTAAACATCCATTGAAGAATTAAAAAATTAAAATAAAAATTAAAAAAAATTCCTTATGCAGGGACTAAAATAAGCTTAGCGTAAAATTAACTTTGTTGTATCGTTGTATTTGTTGTAAATTTTTTTTCTCATTTTCCTGCTAGCAACATGTTCAATTTAATTATTTGGCAAGATAATTGTGGAATATCGTTTTTGTTGGACTGCATTGCTTAGTTTAACATCCCCGTTTTTACTGTTAACTTATTGTATACTAATTTCAGTTTCTCTGTTACAAGATAAAGCTTGGCATTTTTGATACTTGATTGTATTTTGCAAAAAACCCTAGCTAACGGTTTTTTCAAGACGAGGAAAGAACCAAAGAAATTTGCAAGTTTGTGAAGTGAACGGTTATGTAGTTACTGAAGAAAATTGAAAAAAGAACAATTTATTTAAAAACAGATTAAACGGTTTATTTAAGGAGAACAAAAGTGATCATAAATCATTAAAATCAAACTAATGTGCCCTCGAGAGTTTTATTAAGGAATTTGATGAAAAAATGTCTTATTGTGCCAATTCTCGGTACGATCAGGTGTTTAGCACTATAAATCCACTGAGATGCCGTTTTTATTTAAAATATGATCTCTTGTTTACAATACATTATTCAAAGTGTTCGGCGTAACTTATCATTTTTAGATTTTTACTTGAACTCGAATAATATTGATTTCTGCATCTTAAGCGAAGTTTTTCTAAGGGAAGGCAATTTTCTTGAAGTTAAAATTTCCAATTATACTTCAGCCGAATTGACAGCTATGGTTAGTATACCAGTTAAGAAAAACGTCGATTTCAGACAATCCTGCCGTCGACATTATCATCATTAAAACCATGAAGCTTAGACCGAATTTTTTCATAGCATCATCCTACTTTCCAACCAGTTTTGATCTCCTTTTCGTGATGAAATCCAGAGATTGTGTGACTTTCTCGATGGTGAACAAAATGTGATTCTTGCTGGAGACTTACACTTACTTTGCATGATCTTCAAGATGGCAAAACTCACATTTTTCAATATGCTTCTGCGGATTCATCTTTTTCAGTGGCATTATGAGAACGTCTTCGACGAAATATCATCAAGCTCATGACTAACAATTAGTCAGGCTTATCTCCCAAAAAAAGCTTTGACTGTGTACACAGCTTTAGTCAGGTGCAAGATTGAACTTGTAATTTCCCAAAATTGAAAAACGTTTACAACCATTTCAAAATCAAATGTTAAAAAGTTTTACTGAACTGACCCCCTAGGCTCCTCAACATATTCTCATATTTTCTCTCAATATATTTTTTCGTGCTTTATATACATATGTTACTAATAATTACTACGGCTTATTATCTGGACATCTAAGTCACAAATTTTATTGGCTTAGTCCAGCTTAACGCAACATAAAAAAAAAAAAAATAATAATAATAATTACTTCGAACATTAGCGGTTATAAAAGAAAATTAGATGTGCTGCCATATAATTGATTTGAATAGTTATAAGAAGAGTTTGGCAAAAAATTAAGTAAATTACTTTAGTTTTATACAAATTTGTAAAATAGAAAAACAAATGCATTCACATTGCCTTATTGCATTTTTGGTGACAGCAATATTTTTGTTGAACCCAGATTGGAAAAATTGTTCTCATAAAACCTGCGCGCTCTAGTCTTAACTGATTTCATTCCTATTGCTTAACGATAGCAAACCGTAGGAGAAACAAATCGGTTTAGAGAACTATTATCGAGAATTCAAAAAAAAAACATATTCTCTAGTCATAGAACTTCTTTCGCACCAGGCTATTTGTACAAGCAAGTGATCATTTGGTTTGGCGAAAATTAATATCATAATAAATGCATCCAGCTTTCCTTTCCTAAATTTGTAACAAATAATTGTTTTTTTATATTCTTATATTTTGAAAAAGAAACGTAACAAATTTAATGCCTAACTTTATATACTTTTTAGATATTGGCTAAACAGAAATCTATGGATATAAAAGCCGAGAAAACAAAACAAAAAAAAAATTTTGTAGAAACATTTTATTACATTTAAAGTTAATTGTCACGACGTTCAGATTAAAAAGCAAACTTCTTCTCACATCTTCGTTTACATTACAAAACTAATTATTGAACTAAACATACGGATGAGGACTATATATGCAAAAACTAATTGAAATAAAATATTTTCCCTTTTATTTATTGAATTGTTTTTTTTTTTTTTTTTAGCTACTTACTTACATATCTTGCATTATTAGTGTAATTAAATTATTTGTTGGGAGATTGCCGCTATCATTAATCATTAATCGACTTGTAAACTGCTCGAAATTTAACTTAACATTAAATAATTACATGAATATTAAACCCATGATGTGCTGTATTTCCTAAAGTTATGACATTAAGTGGAAAAAGGGATTAGAAGTGAAACACGTAAACGATACAACTGCAATATACATCAAAACTTGTACATTTATGAAAAGAGAAAGATTATATGCTTTAGCACCTAAACTATTTTGCATGTATTGTGCCACTTTCGAGTATAAGCGTATACAATTATCAAGAATTTTGCATGTATTGTGGACGCCTATTACTTCACTGCTCCCATTACCATTATGGACTTAAATTCTTATATTTATTTCTTTATTCTTATTTTAATTGCGTATGCGTTGATATCCATTTATATATAATTTGGTGTATTTTTTTTTTTTTTTTTTTTCATTTCGAAAACTTTCTTTAATTTTCTATTAATTATTGTTTTGTTGTAATTAATTCTGTAAACACATAAAATCAAAATTTTACAATAATAATATCAACTCAGTCTAATTAGGAAATTGGTCATTACATACATAAGGTATATTTTGTTGTTGTTTAAGAATTCAAATTTAAAATCTTTCATAATTATAATTTTAATTATATTTATATTTGTTAATTTATTACATTTAAATTCATATTAATTTATGATGATGATATTAATTACATAAATAGTTTAAAAAGTATTGCGCCATTAATTGATTAAAATTTTTATCTAAAAAATCTTATTCAATTCTTACTCATAAGCACCGAAATGTGGCTTTAATCATTTCCCTCGTTCGATTCGTTCAATACTTTTAAGAAAATTACCAAAAATTAATCAGAAGAACTGATAAATTTTTTTTTGCTTTTAATTGATTACAGTCTTAACATATTTAATTGAAATAGTCTCAATTCTTTACAATATAATAAGTTACTTCATAGCAGCTGCTGGATTAAATCGAGTTGAGAATAATTTCAATTTTTTTTGTTTAAGAAATTTTGGCGATTTTTTGTTGCACAATTCGAAATACTTTTGACTAATTTCCTACACTTGTTTTCATTGACGGCATTGGAAATCTTTTTCATAAAATGCGGAAACTATTGCCATAAATTCTATAGCGAATTGTGCCAAGTTAAAAATGTTGATTTGTTAATAGACGCTATTTGGGGGCTTCGAGCAACTCTTTTGTAATTTACAAAATGATTTAAAAGAATACATTATTTTTCATTGCATTCGCGGACACTTTTTTCTCTAAATCGCTTGTAGGCTCCTGTTATACCTACATCCTATACAGTTGCTATTTTATCTGGAACGGTCAGAAATATGCGTTATAAAGATTATAAAATAGACGTGTTGTTGTTGTTGGGCATCTAACAGTAGTGTCTGGGTGTTTGCGTGCGGTTATTGGGATGCGAGCTTGTTCGCTGACTGGAACGTTTTATGTAAAAAAATTTTCAGTGATTTTTCCAAAAATTGGTAAAATGCAGATTAACGAAGCCATTGGGGTCAAAAGTGAGCTAACTGGGTTAGTGATAATGAGTTTGTTGTGAAAATTCAAATTTTGGCTTACGTGATTTGTGGACTTTTGAAAATAAAGTGGCTCGAAGTCTTTCTTAGTTGGCTTTTACAAATTGCAACTTGTTTTTCTATTATTAAATATTTATATTAGTTAATTAATAATCAATTTAGAGATAATATTAAATTTAAATGTTTCGAAGAAAATCCATTTTGCTAATGATTCTTTCTTTTTTGTGCCATACTAGTTCAGATATTTTGAAAACCATTTGGAGTAAGATTCATATTAGGAGGATAGCTAATGAGGACCCGATGATTCAAATATTCGGCCTAAGCAACTTTTTTATTCGAATTATTCTCTTTTTAGATTATTATTTTATTTTATATGTAATTTTATTTATTTATACATTTTTATTTTTTAGAATTTATTTAATTATGCAAATTTTTCATAATTATTTTCGTTTCTGGTTTTTTGAACGCATTCTTTTTGAAACTCTAATTGTTCAATACAATTTTTAGGTCGGGCACAACAAATTATACATCTTTCGGTATGAATGTTTTCGAAAATTTAATATAATATATTTGTTCAGAATTTTGACTTTACGTATAAAGCTATTATTTGTTTTTAGATTAGTTTTTTTTTTTTTGGATATAGTTAAAGTATACAAGTTAAAAGTTTCCTATGAAAGAGATTACTTTATGAATTTTTATGTTTAATTTGATAAATTTGCTTTATATAGAAATTGATTTTATATAGGAGAGCTGGTGTAGTTTAGAGTAAATCATCATTTAAAAAAAAAATGTAAGAAACGCCTTCTTTAAAGGAAGGGATTTCGAATGTTTCACAAACATTTTGATTAGTTTTGAATTTTTTTTTTTTTTTACTTTACCTTAGTGCAAATTAGTGGACTTTTCTGTGTTTAACCCCAATATCGATTTTTCTCTCCCTAAATCAAATGTGATTTACGATTTGAATGTTCAATGGCGGCTAGAAGCTCATGTTTTTGTCGTACATACATTCGACCCTTTTTCCAAGGATTTTGCAGCAACAATGGCTTGAAATCATCTCGCAAACAACGTTCACGCGCTCCGATCACAGCGACTAGGCAAAAATCGTTTAACATGTCATTGGTATAAATAGGACCGTTACTGCCCTTTAATGCAGCCGCCATATTCAATTGTTTAACAACTAAATTGATAACTTCACGTGCTGTTGTTTTGGCAGTAACATGTAGTTTAAGGCTGGTGCCGCTTGCCAAGCCGGTGTCATAAGCAGTATACACTTGAATAATGCCTGATGGATTAGTGTTCACGTTCGCTGTTTGTTCAGATGCCAAAGTAGGGCAACTGGCAGCTGTATATTCTTCACTGCTCGATTGGCGAGGGAGGCTTTTTGTTGATGCTGCCTTCGGACTTGACGATTCTCCTATGGTTATGAAAAAAATGTGCAAAAATGTAAAAATATCGGCCAAAAATTTAATTATTTTATTATTATTTCTTTCACATTAAAATTAATGAAATTCGAGAGTAAGAAAATTTCAATCATTTTATGCTGATTTATAAGATTCCGCTGATGTCAGTCAGTTGTTTTTGTTCTTGTTCCCTTTAATTGTATAAATTTCTCAAAAACCCGGTCACATTCAAATCAATTTAAAAAAAAAAAGGGGATTAAAGTTATTAACAAATTTATTTATTAATGATTAGATATTAAGAGATTTATATAATAAAAATATTTTTTAAAATAGAATTATTGTTAAGAATTAATTATATGTATGTAATTAATTAAATTATTTATTTACCAGTTATGGGTACAGCAGTTTTCATTTCGGTTTGTAACGCGGATAAAGTCGTTTTTAGATAGATACCGCCGTCTCTTAAACTCACACTTGAAGCCGATTTTAATTTTTCGCTTGCTTTGGCTTGTTTATTATCGCTTACATTATTAAAATTGCTCTTTAGGGAATGGCTTGAACCTTGCATGGAGACGGAATCTCTAGCTAAGTACGGCACTGAATTGGAAGAATGCACCGTAATAGAAGGTGTAATTGGTGTGGACATTGATATAATATTAGAACTCGTTCTTTTACGATGGAGTAGAGATTTATAGGTTTGCTTAGCAGCTTCCGATAGAGTGTCATCCGACCTTGACGGTGGCATATTGAACATATGGTCAAAATCACTATTACTAGCAGCCGAATAAAAACTGCGCGAAGTGTATTGGGAAGTGGCAGAATCGCCGCTATTTTTACGCAACGGCACGTCAGCAATTTTGAATTCATCGCCAATGTGTAACAAATTCGAAGAATTTATTTCCGTTTGAGATTCTTGAGTATTTCTTTGAGTATTTTCGAATTTTGAGGAAGACGAAGACGTTGTGCCATGTTTTGTATCCAAATTTTGTTCAGATTTGGAATGCTCAGGGCCGAAGTGTCTTTGATTTTCATCGTTCGTTAAAGTGCCGGGTCCTGGCCAACTACCTCTACCCGAACCCGATTTAATAAATTTTACATCTCTTAACGGCGGTTGCAAGAGCTGCGAATTGTCGCCATGAAAATCATCGGAGTGATGAGCGAATTCCAATATTTCTCTAATAATCGTTGAAGAAGAAGCGTTTTTATCGCGAGCAAAAGATATAACATCCATCAACCAACGTACAGTTTTCCAAACGGCATTTAAACTATTAGTTAACTCTTGTAATTTGGCCAGTCTCTCTTTAGCTGTTTGCAACTCACTGCTGGCGAATGCTTCTCGTTGTGATTGAGTAGCTAAAGCGGTATCTAATTCCAGTATACAGGAGAGACGAGCATATTTTTGTATAATACCGGGTTGATAGGTGAGCAAGTGTATCATTTCAAATGCTTGGACGCTAAGGCTAGCTAAATCGTCTCTTTGTAACAACAATTCCGATTGACCGGGCACAGCACAAGTCAGCTCTACTGCCGGACATATGATAAGAAAACTGATATCGTTACTATGCTCTATGACTTCGACATCATAAAGACGGTGGGTGCTAGCCTCTTCGGGTTTGATATTCATGTAACTGAATAATTTGTGTAGGGCAGATGATAAATCGTACAAAAATAATCGCTGTATTTCGGTGGACTCTTCGGGATTTGTGTTAAAATCTAAAGAGATTCTTAAGGGACTAGTTCTGCCACGACCGTTATTAAATTCGCCGTCGCTATACGAGCGTTTCAAAACCAACCATTCTTCGGCTGTTATGTGACTATTTTCACGTACCCTGCAATGTGGTAAGACGTTCGGTGTTTTAACTGGTACCACAACCTGTATTTGATCCATGGAGCATTGCAATTTCAGGTAACCCAAATACAGGCCCGGATTTAAACGCTGTAAAGCCGCTTGGTGATACTGAATCTCATCGTTTATGGACGATATTATAATTTCATTAATATTGTATTCCTCATGCAAAGCAATCAGTTTCTTTTGTAGCTTATTGATTGGCAGCCAACGTGAGTTCAATATTGAAACAGCTTTTTGGCTTTTAACAGATTGAATACAACTAAGAACTACAGTACCTTGAGAATCTCGTAAGGGCTTATAGTATAATTGACCGAGATCGTTGAAACTTAAAACGGACTGCATTTGACAAACGGCCGACAATAGCTTTGTACGAAAATGATTGGCCGAAGTTAAATTTCGCTCCATGTCGGTACGCAATGACTTGACATCATCCCAGGAGCAGGCCACCTACGCGGAGAATAACGAAAATGATTATTTAAAAATATTTAAGTAGATAGACAGTAACTAACCTTCATCAACCAGTGATAATCGTTGTGCAAAGAACTAGGATATGATTCATCAATTTCGATAACTGGCAAAGAGTCTTCGCTGGTGACCAACACTTTATCTTCATAGTAGACTATGCTGGCCAAGTGAATGCCTCTGTGTTTGTGTGCATGTAGATTGAAAAAAAAAAAAACCATTAAAATTCCTCCATATGCAGTTTATAACGATTTTTTTACCTCCGTAAGTGCTTTTGAAATTTAGAAGCTACCGAAAATAATTGCTTAATGGTCGTTTTCTTTTTAGGATTTTTTCTTTGATTAGATTGATTGGTGTCCAGCGTTAACTCTGAAACATCCGCGGGACGTGCCAGACGTACGGCGGTAAATAAATTATCTAAAATAAGTTGACGACCTAAATAACGATCTTCGCGATTATTTAAATCACGCCAACCTATATAGAAAAAAACAAGTAAATAAATTGATAATCATTTCTCTTCAGGTACTAAATACATCACTTACTTGAAGGTATTACGCTGGCTGGCACAGATGTTTTATAATCACCCCAACCTTTGACATTACCGCAGGCAGCACGTAGAAAATAACGTCGTCCCTGTGTTAAGCCATTTATTTGATATTGTGTCCCCATTGTACCATGAAAACTGCACCAATCCATTAGTTCACGTTCGCCCACCACATTACTGAAATCAGCTCGTGTCGACCATTGCACTATATAATATTTATATGAACATAAGAAAAATAACAAAAATAATGATTCGCTTTTACGTAATAACATTTTAACCATGCAATATAATTTTCAGGAGCGAAGGAGTAAAACCTTACATGATGATTATCCTGGCAAATTAAATTTACTTGATAGACACAAACATGAAGTATAAGAGATCAGAGGTAGGCAAGGAAATTAACTGAAGTAATTTATGTCATACGCTATCTGTGTGCATATGAAGATAGTTCGAAAATTGTGGTCATGTTCGGATATGGAATAAAGTGAAAAAGTTCAACAGCACTTTTATAAGAAGTTGTTAATAGAGGAAATCGCGACTGACTTTGTATTTCAGACATAACATGCGAAAGCGAACTTTATTTTACTTTACTTTCCCAACAAGGAAGAAATTTTGTAAAAATTTTCTGCTCCCCATTTGTATCGTAAGCAACTAATATACGTAATAATATAATTGAAAGTGAGTGAGATAACTTGAAGAGGGATGGGGGTGAAGCCATATGATAATCATTTACTTTATCGGAACGACGATAATTGCTTTAACTCAATGACTTCTTTATATTGCGGCCACAATGGCCGCTTTAACTATGATTTCCTAATTGGTACGCGAATGCAATATGTATTCCATTTGCGTTTTTTCGGTTGAAAATATTATGAGGCTTTGCACGTGTAATGAGGTGGAATAAGTTCATTTGTGAAATAAGTCTCTTAATTACACGCTGTATCAATTTTAGACGAGAGAAGAAGGGAGAGATGATAAGAATTCGTTTTAACCGGCATTGCAACTCATATCATAAAAATCAATACAATTATAGGTAAAGGGAAAACTAGCACTACTCACTCGCGAACTTGCCATAATTTATTTACTGACATTTTTTTCCTGTGTACCTTATCCTTCTTCTTCTTTTAGTTCCTTATCACACTTCTTCGTTGTCATTAGGCGTTTTCTTAATTTTCCTGTGGTCCTGAGTAAAAGACAATACAAAAGCGCAATGTCGAACTGTCTAAACCAAAACTTTTTCGTTGTTTGTGAAAATTGAAGAGTTTCGAAAATCATAGTTAATCTACACGAAAACAATAAACAGGTATCGTGTTCATATTGCTAGCGGAATTTAAAGACTATCGATGAAAAGTAAGGCATTTATATTCGGGACTGATTCGATTTCCTACTTACAATCTTTACCTTCAAAAAACTAAAGAGAGCAACTAAATTTCCAGGCTTTTGAGCACTCGGTGGTCGCACCACAATTTTTATTGCGTATATATTGGAGGTTTATGAGTAGTGAGGAAAAAAAGCGATATAAGAGTTATATTCTCAGTTAATGTTATGCTGGAAGTGTTTCTTTCGACCGATTTATTCCGTGCAAGAACTTTTAATATTTTGCAAACTTGAAGCTGATATCAAAACAATATTTACCGCAGGCATTACATAGACGGACAGGTTTAAATTCGTTCAGAATTTGATACCGACCAGCATTTAGGGTCTCTGGATCGTTTGCACCCTATAGCAGCAAACAAATAATAAAATGCATACGCCACCATGCTTCGTCCGCTACAAACGTATCTATTAACAGGAGACTAAAGGTATATCTAGTTTGTCGGCTCGTAACATTCAGAAGCATGAAGTGCTTACATTCTTGGCCAGCGTTAAATTGTGAATCGAGTTAGATGTGCTCGTCCGTTCGGCTATGTAACGCTCTATGGTAAATGTTATTCTACTCGCAAAAATGGGGATACCGACTCCAAATTTGAGAATTTTAGTGCGCAAACATCCAAGTAGTAGTATATCGGCATAATAAATTGTTTTAAAAATCGAGATTGCATGAGTTGGGGTTATGAGCCCCGCTTCCTAAGTAATCCTTTGTACGAAAAATATGCTTCCATATAGGAAAACAGTCTGAATTTTGATGTTTCACAATAAGAACTGGTCCATAATTGGAATTTGATATAAAAATCAATTGAGGCCAGTTTAGCCCATGTAGATCTATTTTTCAGTCAGAGTCAGTTTTCCATAAGAGTACTCATGAACAGTCAATGAAGGAAATATCGCTTTTTGATGTGTGTATGAAATGCCAACGAAACATGACAGGAACAGGACTGTCTTATCTTTCGAAATTGTAAGCTATTTTCAAAAACGTATGTTGTCTTTAATTTAATTAATTAATTAGGATTAAAGTTTTAAAACATTAGCATCTAAGACTAACGGTTTTGTTGAAAATTCTACCGCACTTGAGATTTGAACGCACAACCATTGAGTTGGTTAATTAGTTAGAGACATTTTCCCTACTCCGTCACTCAGGCGGGAATATATTGCTTTATATTTCATTCACTATTAAATTTTTTGTTCTTCTTGAGTAGATAGATATTTGTGGAGTACGGAATTTTTTAGATTTTTTATATTACTTACCTTTGAATTTAGTAGCGATTGCTCCGTCAAATGGTTCTAGTATTTGCACTTGAACCGAATTATCACCAGTAACATCAACAGTCAGTGAAGCCGGAGCGTCTGGAGGACGAGCTTGATCCCAACCCAAAAGTAAGCGACGCAAACCTTTAATACGTCGTTCCCAAATTCCAATTTGTTTTTCAATCTCGTTGCCAGTGCAGCCGGAAACCGAGGAACCCGTATTGCCTGAAATCGTAGAGGAAAAGGAATGTAAAACATACCGTTGGCCGTTGGGTATATAAATACAAGCAATGGCGACCATACAAATGTTGCTTGATTTCAAATACATGTCGTTTAAAGCTACAGCTTGATTGGCGTGGAAGTATGTTATGGTATTCGGTTGGTAAATATAAGAAACAACAACAACAACAACACTCAGCCAATATCATGTGATGCCAATGTGCACGTACACATCATCATGTCGATGCACACGTACGTACACCGTTTGTGTAATAAGTTCAGCTAAAGAAACTAGAACAGTCAAGCAATCATTCACTCAGTCTGTCAGTTGGTTGGTTGCTTGGTTACTATTTTCAATGAAAGTGAAAACAACAGTTTACATAGATTTATAAAAACAAGTAACATAAGATGATACATTTTCTTGTATATACATCTACATATATATACATACATATACATATATGCATAGCCAGGGGAGGAAGGGAAATAAAACCCACGCAATCATCAAACGAAGAAATATTTACTCCCCAAATGTCGAAAGTAGTTGAATCAAAGACAATATACAGAATTGCTAAACATTACTCCGATATTATGTGTGGTAAGCGGATAGATAACGGGCTGCAATTCGTTTTGTCTGTTTGAATAACAATGATTAGAAGGCGAAGAACAAATGCTTGCATTTGTGGAGTATGCTGCATTAATAGAATAGTTTGATGACTTCTGCTAAGCATTGCTATTACGCGTTATGCAAGTACGTTCGGTCGTTAATACAAGGTGACCATTCCATAGACTTTGTATTCATCGCATTAACGTAATATGATTACCGCAATTTTACTTAGTAATTCAAGATAATTTTATTCAGTTTAATTGGAATTTCAAGTTTCTTCTCATTTTGTTCTTTGAAACATGCAGTTGAAACATACAATGGATTTACGCAATGTGTACTTACCGATTATGATGCTTGATATTGAGGGACGTGATGAATATGTAGGCTGACATGTACCCTCTAAACCGCTTAGCTCATGTACACGTGATTCTGCATCTTTAAGTAAAGCATTTAGTTTCGTGCCTATATTATCAACAGCAACTGCAAGAGAATATTGTGACATTTGTGAATTTTGTTTATTGCTTGCAGTCATACGCAACTAATTGCATATAAAGAAATTATTAAATTATTAATTAAAATATAATAACAAAGAAAACGAAAGCATTCGCTATTGTGAGGGTAACATTACATAAACAAAAAAAAAAAAATAAATAAAAAAAAAATAAAAAAACTCTTCCTAACCTTACGGTTACAGAAAGCATTATTAATCCAAAACCACTTATGTATAATTTCGTGCGCAAGCATAACCAACGTCATTAAATATTTTGTGGTTTCTAATGAATTTATTTGTAATATTTAATGTTTTGACACTTTTCAGCGAGCTCTGCGGATACCGAAAGAAATATAAGATAATTTAAGTTTCACTGTGTTATTAGTTGTAGGTTTTCGAAAAATCTTGGGCTTCTTGATCGAAATATTGCAAATTTTAGGATTTGAAAGAAGACTACAAAAGGCTCCGCAGACACCGAAATGCATTATGATCTTCTAAGCTAGGCGATGTATTCAATTTTTGATGCTTCGATCATTTATTTTCGATTCCTGTCTTCTTTTAACAATACCAAGAATTTCTCACTAAAAAAATGTCCGTCATATTGGGTCAAAAAAGTATGTGACACGAGTTTCTTTTAAAGTTTTTCCTGAGGAACAGAGGCAAATATTAGGATGACAATGGTAGCAGAGATATGCTACACTTCGGCTGCATCACAAATTTGTTCCACATCTGATGTTACTTTAAATAATTAAAAGCATCTCCCGTTGTTAGCACGAGTGGAAAATCTCTCTGTCGATAAAATGCGATTAATATTAGTTTAGCAGTAGTAGCAGTTGTCATTCGCACGATGGCTGTTTTAACATTCCTCAAGTTTTCCGAGTGTCTGATGAGTCGTTAAAATTATATAACAAATAAGAAAATTAAATTCGTTTACCCCAAAAAAAGACAAAGGAAGTCGAAGAACAAAATTCTTATACTCTGTTATATGGAGCGCAGTCGATTTCTTCTACTTTCAAAATAAAAGTTTTTGTCGTGTAGGCATATGGACGTTGTAGGTGTTTACTTCGAAAACTTTAAATCATTTCCAAATTCTTTTGCAAGTTTGTAGGCGATGTCTTCATTTTCGCTAAAAGGAAAATGTTTAACGCAAAGTTGAGCAAACAGACAGATGGACTGACGAACAGGCGAACATGTTTAGGTGCATTCAAAATTTGAAACCCCTCATCCCTCGGTGAAGGGTATAATAAATTGCCTCTTATTTTTAGCATCTTTTCTGTCCACCTTATCTCAACAATTTTAGGCTGATAGTGACAGATTTAGGCTGCCACTCGCAGGTCATGTTCTCTGAATATCTAAAGAGCTGTCATTATGTCGACAAGATTTTGCTATTTCCTAAGAACTATTAAGCGTAATCTCTTCAACAATAGCCTTTCCGTGGTAGAGATTATTTTGCGCAATAGTCTTCTGAGTTATGGCCCGAACGATCAAAGAAATCAAAGAGGTCAATACGATTTCGGAGAAAGCCTACTAAAAATTTCTTGCATAAAATTTCATCATAACTAGATCGATATTACTTTAAAGCATATCTGCTGAAAATAGAAAATGTAAAGCATAATAACGAACGGGTTCTAAAGTAATGTAATGAAAAAATGAAGCTCTCAGCCCATTAAAGTAAGATAAGAAAATTGAAGGTAAACACTGAGTTCTCAGCTATTATTACTTACATTGTGAGCCTTCTAGAGCACCGTGCTGTAGTAACATTTTGGTCATGGACCGATTGTTGCTAAGTACAGCAACATCTAAAGCTGAGAGACCATCTGTGTTGATGCTAAATATTGAAAGAAAATTAAATAATTATGCAAACAGTGTAAAAAATCCAAATTCGCATAAGCAATTTGTACCTATTGACGTCTATATCTGTAGATTCTAGAATGGTGCGAGCTTTATCTAAATGACCATGTTCGACGGCCGAAAATAAAGCTGCAACGAGAAAGTGAATAAGAAGGAAAAATGCATTTAAAATATATATAGAATTAAAAGGGACGGTATGATATAAAATTTTGAGTTCTCTTTTTTTTTTTTTTTTTTGAAAAGTTGCCAAAAAATTCTTTTTGAATGAAAGGAAAAATATCGTTGAGAATTGTTGTTATTGTTGTTGTTGTTATTGTTATTTACAGAAGATAAATTAATGAGATTTTATTTTTATTATTTTGCTTATGGTTATGCATTGTTTTATTACCGTGCAGATGCAGATTACACTGCGTTAACTTATCCAGTTGGGCTTGAGCCAATTTGAGCTGTTTTTTCGACATTTTCGTTCGATGCGGTGTACTGCCACCTTTATTGCGAGCATTGGCTGGTTGCCGATAAATGGTTAAATTTTGTATATTTCCAGCATTAGTTTTCTCATTGTTCGCATAAGAGTTGCTCTGATTGTACTCAAGATTGCTGCTTTGGTGGGCGTCATGCAATTTGACATTTTTGGCATTATTACCGTTTGCATGACGTGTTATGCTTAAACTATTATTAATTTTATTAGTGGTAGCCGTAATTGTATTCGATATGGTAGTGCTATTCGCTGTAGTCATCATATTTGTACTGTTATTGCTATCAAAGCTTGCAGATTCTGCTGATGATGATAATGATGATGACGATTGTGTCGATGTGGTTTTTTTAGTTGTTGAAGACGATATTGATTCTAAACTATGTTGGTAGGGTTGATGATAGTAGGTCTCTTGCTCTTGCCCTTTTAATTGATTATAATAATGATGATGATGATGATGATGATGATGACGTTGACAATGATGATATTGATGATAATGATGATGATGAGGTTGTTGCTGTTGCGGGTGTTGTGGTTGTGACAAGAGATATTCCATTTCTTTGAAATCTTGACTTATGTAAGAGATAACATTACGGATACCAGCTACCGATACCACATTTTGTGTTATATGCTCAGAACAACGCAATGCGCCGCTACCATTACAAGTCACTTTTGAGTTGAGTTTTTCACGTTTATTGTGATTGCACAATTCTATTAAGGATGACGATTCAATGTCATTCAATTGCAAATAGCCATTGTTACCGTTTCCGTTTAAACTATTCCAACTATTACTATAATCATCGTAATCGGATTGAGTTGTACTTGCGCTAGTTGACGACACGCAATGCTGATAATGTTGATGACGAATAGTATCGTAATACGATGAAGTGGAGGAGCGTGATGTTAAAGTTGCGGGCGCATTATTATTTGTTTTTCTTAAAATTACGCAAACATCATCTTCATTGTCGTCGGCGGTATTGCGCTTTTTATTCTTCTTGTTCTGATGATTTCTATTATTGCACTGATAGCAACTATCATTATATGATAAGCGATCTGATTGCAAATTTGGAATATATTTAACCGTATCTATATTAGACGGTACGATATTATCTTGAATTAAGAAAAAAAAACAAAAAAAAGAAACGAAAACAAAAACAAAAATCAAACTCAAGAGATGATAATAGTAATAATAGAAACAAGTAAGAAAATTATGTTCGGTCGTAAGCGAATCTTTTCTACCTATCACCGTTAAGCTGAAAAGAGTAAAAAAAAAAACTGAATTTTCATATGGAGTGGATAAGGAAATGAAAGTTTTTGTCGTATAGGCGTGTGGGCGTTTTGAAAAGTTTAGGACACTTCCAAATTGCTTTGTAGGCGATATCTTCACCACAAATGATATACACATTTGCGGCAGACGAACAGACGGACATGCTTAGATACATCTCGAATTTAAATATGCCCAAGTATTTATATATTTTAAAAGGTTTTTAAGGGCAATGAGAAGAAAAATTAAATTTTCATACACTATATATTGGGCAGGCATGGTCAATTCTGCTCGTATCTGTACAGGTATTATGGCATAGCCCATAGAGTATGCGTTGAAATTTTTCTACACTTATCTGCTGTAGTTTATTAGTGTAATAAGCGAAAAACCTAATTTCTTCCACTTTTTGGAAAACAAAGGTGTTCTCTGTTTACGTGGTACTGTGAGCGAGTGCTTCGACCGATTTAATTCATTTTCAATAGAGTAAATAAAGAAAATAATAAGAATATAGATTAAATTAAGAAGATTAAGTATATATTGGGTCGGGAAGAAACAATTTTAGGAAACTGTATCGTGGGCTAGGAAATATTTCCTGTTGCAAGGAAAAAAAGCCAAGAGGAATAAGAAAAAAGAGCATCCTCTGGATGCTACAACAACTTTCTTTTGCCAACTTAAGATATGGTATGAACTTAGACCATTGGTTGAAAAAATATCGGAATTTTTTTTTGTTCTATTCCTAGGAAAGATTCAAATTTATATAAAAGGGGGAAATGAAATGTCAAAAATTTCTTTACTGTCATAGTAATTCTTTCCATCCCACTTTGAAAAAGAAAAAAAAAAAAACGAAATTTTTCTCCTACCAATCCAATATTCATTAAAATTCTCAATAAGATACATATAATGAAATAAAAATTTTTGCAGATTTATCCGAACATTTATTGGAAAATTATATTTATGGGGCTATCCTCCAAAATAGTATATTTATTTTTTGATATGATATTTGGATTTAGGTAACGAGATGTTAGAGTTAATTTTCATAAATTAGGTAAGCAAGCTAGAAATTAAACAAAATGGTAAATAATTCTAAATAAATCTAAATTTCACTTGTTTACATCGTACCCTTCCGAGTTAGAGATATTATTTATGTAACAGTAATTTTTTGACTTTTAAAAATCTTTCTGAAATATATATTTTTTTTTTTCTGTTAGTTTTCTCCATTTGCAATATTTAACTTGGAATAGTAAAAAGTAAGTAATATATGTATATATATATATATGCGTATGCATATTAGGTGGTTGCATATATTTTGATAATTTTTTTACTTGAAAATGGGAAAATTTGATTCAATATACATTAATTAATACATTTTCCATCATTTTCCCTTCCTTCGCTGTCGAAAATGCAAATTCCATTTCTATTTTCTATGACATGTTAGAAAAAGCAAAATTCTAATAATTTTTAGGATTTTTTTTTTTTCTTTTTACCGACTTCAAAATTCATGTTATTTGTGAAAACTTTATGCATATTTACCCATTTACCCATAGATTTGATATGTTAAGCTGACAATAGACTATAATATGTATATATATAGGCGTATGAATTGATTTCATAAAATCAGCATAAGAATTCCAACTTCTTGAAGGCTCAATAAACCTTTTCATTAAAAAAGGATAAGTAATTGTTTATGAATTTAATATCACTACAATTTAACGACCGGGTTGGAAATATAAGTTTAGGTGCCTCGACTCTCGTATAGCTAGTAAAATGTCATCTGCTTGTTGCTATCTGAAGGTTATCCATTTACTTCCTTCCTTCCCTATTATTATTATTATTATTATTATTACTATAAACTCCGTAATTCCATTTCAAGGTGTAAACAAGAGAGAAGACTACATGCATTTTTACTGTAGAGAAGTTTTACTAAGTAATTTTAGACTATCACCATCGTAATCGTTTTGAAAAATAATTTGTGGATTTGAACAATGAGTATTGCCTGCACAAAAGGCTTTAGCAATTTCTTCATCAGACTGCTATAAATAATGCCCAGTAGCCGCGACACCTATGGAAGGCTATGTTGTGGCTTTCGCATTGCCCGCCGCCCTCATTCAATAAGCCCTATTTGTATTTTGAGATGAAAATTAAAAAAAATAATTTTTCTTTAACACTAAAACTGCCGAAGTTTTGCATATATCTATTTATAGTAAAAGGAATCATTTTGCTGCCCTTTCTCCGTGAAATTACAGAAATGGAGATAAGAAAATGAAATTTGGCATAAACATTCTTTCCATCGATGAAAAGTGATTGTAAGGCGTCCATATGCAAGCCCACAATGTAAATGAACCTCAAAAAAATACTGAAAATGTTCGCCAAAAGCATCGATCTGATCGATCCACCACTGACAATGAAATTTCAATTCCAATTTGTTTTTAGTACTTTTTTAATTGGACGAAGGACTTGTTAATGTGCGGTAAAGTAAATTGGAAATAAATCATAATCAAAACTTTGTAGTTAATTTTGGACATGTTAGTAAAGCAATTGGACCCTTGAATACGATCTTAGAGAATATATCGGTCACAGATTTCTGGAAATACCTTCACGTAATCAAAAGTAGCAGATGAGAGAATTTCTTCTAAATTATGGGCGTGCATATGGGCAAATCGCAATCGTAATCGATTAAGGAATGCTTGCCCAATATTGCAGCTCCTTACCTTCACTGTTACGATTGCAGCAATTTCGCAAAAAATAGGGATCACAATGATCCCTTTTAGTAAAAATACATATAACATCATCTTGAAAACGGGAACAGATAGAAAAAATTTCTTGTTGATAAGTGATTGTTTTTTTCGTGTAAGTAAAAGTAGCCCAAGTATTTTTGGAACTTTATTTGCGGTATAACTATTTTTGGGAACATTACAATGGCATACTCGGCAACTTTAGTGTAAATGGTTACATTCCATCTTTATGATTTTAATTGTCGAAAGTTTCCAACAATTAAAGTATAATAATAAAATTGAATATGAGACTTTAAGCTCTTCTCCCAGCAATATATACATGAGACATGTATAAGGATTTTTTAATAATTATCGATTAACGTGCGTTCTTTGAAATGAACGCCATCTTGGAGGGAGTAACACGTATGAAATAATCTTCACTTGATGTATTAGATGTGAAGTACGTGTTCTTTTCTTCATCCATATTCTTGGATATTTTTCTTGTCCCGCTACATACGGCTAATTTTTAACGTCGGTGTATAGTTACGTTGGCAAGCGTGTACTCGTAAAAATTAGTGATTAATCGTAGTAGAGCATAATGATGATTAATGCAATAAATTAGTTTTATTAATGAGTTTCATTCCGAATAAATAATGAATTTTTATTTATTAATTAATGTGAATTGCCCCAAAAAGGTTTAATAACTATATGTGATGAACAAATTTTTTTTAATTTTTATTTTTCGAAATCTCTTACCATCTTTCATATGAAATTTGCAATTAATAGTAGAATTCGTTTGACAAAATTTTGTCAATTCATTGAACGTATGAAATGATTTCTGTCTCAGTAGAGCACCTGGGGAACGTAAGCAACTGCTTATTCGTAGATGTTTCAGTGATATTGTTTCGTTATTATTATTATTATTACTATTATCATTATTGTTCTTATTGCTACTGTTATTGTTTGTATGGTAACACCTGTAAAATGAAAATACAAACATTCATATATACAGTTTGCACGAAAGAAATACAAAAAAAAAAATAAATAAATAAAAAAATGATTTTTTAAATAAATCACTTTAATTGTTTCATTATTATTCATAGCATTTGATGATTCAGATGAAACCCAACCTTATGAGAACACAGAGAGATTAAATGTATTCACAAGTGATTTAGTTTTGATAGCATTTAACATAAATTTCATTTTCTCATTGAGTCTATCTATCAACTTTCATGTAAATTTTTGGCAATTTTAATTATTTTAGGATTATTGAGGGAAAATGGCAATTTGTTGCTTCTGGAGAATTGTCGGCAAAAGCAAATAGTTTGCCAAAATTTTTTTAAGTGGACAGATAAGTCGCCTTGCTTTTTAGCTTAGTGCATTTAATCTTAGCAAACATAGGAAAAAGAACAACGAAATGGTTTTACGCATCTTGACTAAGTGTAATTGTTATTGTGTACTCTCTTCAAATATCAGGGAAGACTGAGGAAGATGCCTCTTCATGCACGCGAAAGGCAGACCAGGCATTAGAAACTAGTTCATGGTCTACAATAAAAGAAAATTCTAAAGACTTCATATAGTAAGCCTGGCATTATTAACTAATTCGTCTATCCATCGGCCACAGGCATTTTCAAGCGTAAAAATTTTCAATGGCTTTAACTACGCCCACCTGTCTACCAACCTCTTATATATAAAGCTGAGAACAGATGCAAGTATGCTAAGTTGAGTTTTAAAGATCCAATCGTTCCAATCAACAAAACTCGTTCTTAAACTTTAATGCTGGAAATCAATGGTTTTGTTTTTCAAATATTTATATCAGTTAGGAAAAGATTTGATGCAATGTGTTGGTTAAAAAGGAAATGCTCTTCCATGCAAGATTTATATTTGCCTCAGATATCTAATATTCACGTCAAGAACATCTATAGCACAATTTTTTGGACCTATCTGCTGAGCGTAATGTGAGATGCTCAAACCTAATAAAACCACCACTAACGAATTGCTTTTATTGTTTATTGCATGAAATGAAAGCCGGTCGCTAAAAAATTCTTTAAACCTTTAATAATGCTTACATAATAAAGCTTAAAGATTAATGGGAGAGAATTTTACATTTCTTAAATCTGTAATCTTACCTACCA